AATTTTAGAAACCCAAGACAATTAAATATTAAGCCCAATTTGAAGCCCAACAACACATTCAAACCCTAGCATCCACATATATATATATATATATGTATATATATATATATAGGGGATGGATCCAATGAGACCACTCCTTATATATATATATATATATATATAGGGGATGGATCCAATGAGACCACTCCTTAAAATGAGTACGTGAGACTCAATCTTAGCCACTCCTTTTGATCAATATCAATTAAAATATACATTAATTAAATAATAAAATAATTATTAGTTGACTCCGGCGTTGACCGTTGACTCCGGCGTTGACCGTTGACTTCCGGCGTTGACCCATTGTATTGAAATAAATAACCTAGCAACAAAAGACACTCAACCTTGAGTGGTGTAGTGGTTGCATTGCTTGTCTTGCGTCCATGAGGTACCAGGTTCAAATCCTATGGGTTACAATTTTTTTATAAAAAAAAAATACAACTAACTTAGCAACATCAGACAACTAACCGAGCAACAAAACACAACTAACTTAGCAGAATCAGACAACTAACCTAGCAATAAAACACAACTAACCTAGCAGCAAGAAAGAACAACTAAACTAGCAACAAACACAACTAACCTAGCACCATCAGACAACTAACCTAGCAGCAAGAAAGAAATAACCTAGCAACAAAAGACAACAAAACTCAGACAGCAAATGCTCTCCCTTCTCTCTAACTTTCTCTCTCTACAAACCCACCTCCCCAGTTTCACTATCGTTTTTCAGTCCATATCTCCGACTAGTTGCTGTTCGCCGGCGGGCCGCCACCGCCGCCGCCTCTGGCGGCGAGCTGCCTGACCCCCTCCTCTTGCCGCCTCCTGACAGGCACCATTTTCCCCATCTATGGCTTCAAGACCGACTCCCAATAGTCCTCCTCCTCCTCAGTCCCAGTCAACACAATCGGACCACCTCCGTCACTCTCCTCCTCCACCACTTCCACCGGTAGCCTCCTCCGACCTCGCATCCCTAATTTCAATGGAAGTGACTAAAGCCCTAAATAAACTTCTGCTGTCGAGATCTAATCTGGAGGAGGGAGAAATCCCAAATTCAACACTCGACATCAAAGAGTCCGCATTTAACAGTCACAACCCAAACCCGCAAGGCATTTCAGACTCAATTTCTCTCGCAGGCTCCGGTAATAACTCAGACCAAGACCGGCCAGATTCAACTCTTCATCCCGGAGAACCAGCAGCGGTCGTCGACAAACCCACAATTGATAATAGAGGTCCGGTCGTCTTTGGTTCCTTGTCGTCGGAACTTCTCCTACCGGTCACAACCATTTCTTCTTGCAAAGGTGGCGTCCTGCATAATCGAACCCCTCAGCTGCGCAGCGAGATTAACACTCATCTGGATCCTCCAATTGGGCCTATCCTGGCCCACATCAATTCAGGCCCAATCTCATCAAATAAACCAAGCTGCTTGCAGGCCCCCGCTTTTCGGCCCAATGACATGATAAACAAAAACCCTTCTTTGGGCCTTGGTTCGGGGCCTGATCCTCAGCAGCCCGCTAATCCCTCTGCAACCCAGCCCATTTCGCTATCTCAGGCTAATTCTGAGCCCGTCATCCTCATCAACAATTGCCATCAAACTGCTCACGGCAGCACAGCGGCGACCGGCGTCGCACCTCCTCTTTTGAGTCTCCCCCTTTTCGGACCGGCCCAACACACCAGTCAGGCCCAAACTGACCAACTCAACACGCTCCAGCCTATTCTCCAGCCCGTTTCTAACCATCCTCAAGCCCCCTCCACTGCCCGTCTTCTCGCCACCAGCTCCCAACGGGTACATGAAGACCACCTGTCGTTCTCCGGCGACGGTGCCGGTAAGACCACCGAAAAATTGCAGCTGGCCGGAGCTCCGGCAAGGGCGGGTTTCGAAGTGAATTTTGAGAAGGGTATTCTCGGGCCCCGGCCGACTCTCCCCTCCCCGTCCGAGCATCTTGCCAAAATGGCTTCTCTTGCCGCTGACGACGCTGAACCGGATGTGTTGTGCATTCATGAAGATGGGGTGGCCGTTGCGGGCACGAAACCGATAACCGCGGACCATTTTTTCGGACCTCTCCCGAATGGGACAACGCCGGCGAGCACTTCGACTACAAATCCCGCCGCCGACAGTCTAACGAGGTGTGTTCTGGAGAATCCCGTCAACTTCTCCGGACCACCCCCGAACGGGACACCGCCGACGGGCTCCCCAACGGCAAACCCTACTGCACCCGGCTCTCTGCCGGGAAATTCCACTGGCCCGCTCTCTTTTCGAGAGGCTATTACGGGGAAGAGAGATGACGTTTTGGGCGCCAAGATTACCCCGCGACCGACACCCAAGGAGTTCCTCTTTGACGGGGATTATGACCAGGCTTGCGGGACCATCATCCGCTCGGAGGGGAACAAAGTGAAGGTCCGATTCTCACAGGCCGAAGGTGACACCCTCGCAGGTAAGTTAGCGAACACACTGGTCTTTAAGTTCACCTATGCTATCCCTCCCCCCCGAGACTTAGCTGCTGGATTAGGGAAATTGGGATTTAAGGGTAGGTTCTCATTTAAGTGGTATAACTTCAATCATCTTCTAGTCTGTTTTAATCTCTCCGAAGATTATAATGAGGCATGGCTTAGGACTTCTATTTCTGTGTGTGGATGCCTAGCTAGGGTATTCAAGTACACTTCTGGGTTCAACCCGAAGACGGAGACGCCGGTCGTCCCCGTGTGGTGCCGCCTCCCTGGCCTTCTACCACATCTGTATGACCGAGATTCCATCACCACACTTGCTAAGTGTGTCGGAAAACCGGTCCGCATTGATGCCCTGACTGCTCTCCAGTCCAGGGCTAATATGGCGCGGTTTTGTGTCGAGATTGATCTTAGAGTGGAGCCTATCCACGAGATTGAGATCGAGCAGGGTTCGGAGACCTTTGCTCAGCGGGTGATCTACGAGAAGATCCCTGCTTTCTGTTCTGCCTGCAGTCATGTTGGTCATATAGCGGCAGACTGCTATATCAGTGGCAATAAGCCACGACCCGCCCCACCTCAGCACCGTCGTATGGCCCAGCTGGGACCCTCCAACAGCCGGAGGGAACCGAAGGGAAAGGGCAAAGGCCCTCTCCAGACACCCGGGTCCCCAAAGGGGGCCACAGATAAGGGCAAGGCGAAGATGATCGCCGATGCCCAAACTGGGAAGGACGATCAACCTGACCAGTCAGACCGAGTGATCGTAGTTGGGCCCAAGGCCAAGGCTACGGGCTTTATTCCCAGAGAGACACTTCAGTCGGCCTTCAAGGCCAAACACTCGTTCTTTGCGCCTCTCTCCCCTGAGTCACAGGAGGAGGCTGAGCCCTCCTCTAGGGACCCACACAGTCTTTCGGATCTTGACATTTTAGAGGACGACGACCTTCTAGTAGATGAACTAGATCAGCCGGCCACTTCGTCCACTGGCACGGCCACGCATTCCTCTCATGACAGCATTCGTGATGCTGTCCCTTTGTCTGTCCTCCCACATAACCAGGATCGCTCTCTAGAGATGAGGACAGCTCCGGCCACCGCTTCCTCGAAAGGGGAATCACCGGCTCACCTCCCCTCTGCGGAGATTGAGATTTCGACTGAGCCTATAGCTCTCCAGCCACACTCTGACGGCGAGCACCCGAGTGCTCTGCCGAATGGAGTCCTTTCCCTTCCCCTCTCTGAGAAGGCATGCGGTCTTAACCGTGCTCAGCACGACGTCTCGTGCGAGAGTTTTGCCTCCAGTGCGTTTGTGCGCCATGACAGACAGGAGGCATGCCCTAACATGGGACAGGCACCTAGCGTCAGTCTTGGTCAGACTGCTCAGCCTGACGATTCGCAGGCCACGAGCGATTTCCGAGGGCGTGCCCCTTCAAATACCATACCCATACCGCGCAGGACGAGGCGGACTCATTCTTCGGTTCTTCGTCGATCCTCTCGCCACCTACCCCCTCCCTTAGGTGGTCTGACTCAGCCTCGCCACAGGCGGACCCCGTCCGGTGGCTCTTCTGATTGTTGATATGTCTATCACGTCCATTACTTGGAATGGACGGGGACTGGCTAATAGGGCCACTCTCGCTCACCTTCGCTCTCTTATTCGTGATAATAGATTGGATTTAGTCGGCTTTCTAGAGCCGATGATTTGCACCCCTGACTTTGACTATCTCTCACGTCGTCTTGGTTTCCATTCGGGCGTAGGTAACATTTCTCAGAAGATCTTCTTCTTCCACTCGCGTGAATACACTTGCCGGGTCCTCCGGGACACCGATCAGGTGCTTCATGTTGAGCTTTCGGCTGCCCACCTCCCTGAGCCCATATTTCACACTTTGGTTTACGCAAAGTGTAATAGAGTCGGGAGATACGATCTGTGGGACACCCTGCGTGAGATTGCTGAGAGTATGGAGGGATTGCCATGGATGGTTAGTGGCGATTTCAACATCTTTATGCACCACGATGAGCGTGTGGGTGGCCGCACGGACAGGTCCCGGGAGATGTGGGACTTTGCTCAGACTGTGGCGGACTGTGAGTTGCTAGATGCTGGATGTGAGGGTGAGCCCTTCACGTGGGTTAGGGATGACCTCAAAGAGAGGATCGACGGTGCTTTGATCTCTGAAGCGTGGTCGAAGGTGTTTGCGGTCACGACCGTCACGCATCTCACTCGATTTGGGTCTGACCATTCACCACTCCTCATTAGGTGTTGCTTCTCGAGCACTCCCCGCCGCGCTTCCTTTAGGTTCCAGAACATGTGGGTTCGCCACCACTCTTTCCATGACACTGTCAGAGATTCCTGGCTTCAACCGACTGGGCTCTTCGGGATGCGCAATCTCGAAGCTAAGCTCGGCAGATTACGGAGTAGGTTGAGACAGTGGAACTGGGATGTTTTTGGAAACCTTCATCAGCGCCTTTCTGCGGCTCAGAGTGCGCACGCGGAGGCTGAGCGGGCCTATGACCTGGATCCCACTCCGGAGAATAGGACTGCGATGCACCGCTGCCACGCCGAGTACCAGCTCCGACTCCTTATGGAGGAGGATTTCTGGAAGCAGAAGGCGGCCGTTCGCTGGGTGGCAGAGGGCGAACGGAACACTAGGTTCTTCCAGGGCTTCGTTAGGCAGAAGCGTGCTAAGTCGTACATCCATAGTATTGAGGTAAATGGTTCATCCCTGAACCAGGAGTCTCAGATTCGGGAATCGGCTGTTGCCCACTTCCAGACCCTCTTCACCTCTGACAGAGGGTCCCTCGTTGCCCCGAACGTCTCTTTCTTCCCTACCATCCCTCCTTCGGTCGACCTTGTCGACCTCTGCGAGCTTCCGAGCAGGGAGGAGGTTTGGGATGCTGTTTTTGGGATTGATCCCAACAGTGTTTCTGGCCCCGATGGATTCTCTTCCCTCTTCTATCAGGTCTGCTGGGATATAGTCGAGCCTAATGTTGAGGAGGCGGTATTGGATTTCTTCACTGGTCACCGGATGCCGGATTCGTTCACGGCCACCTCTGTCGTCTTGATTCCCAAAAGACCCAATCCGAACTCTTGGTTCGACTACAGGCCCATTAGCCTGTGTAACGTGACCAATAAGCTTATTTCGAAAATTCTTAACGGCCGTCTTTCTCCTATTCTCCCCTCCCTCATCTCTCCAAACCAGAGTGGCTTCGTCAAGGATCGGGTCATTAGTGATAACATACTTTTGGCCCAGGAGATGATCCACGACATCTCCCATGCAGACTGGAAGCGGGCACCGAACATTGCGCTGAAGCTAGACATGGCTAAGGCGTATGATAGAGTGGAGTGGCCGTTTCTTAGGGAGGCACTGGCTAGGATGGGATTCCCGGAGCGATGGATCAGCTTTGTAGAGGCGTGTGTCGAGCATTGCACGTTCTCGGTCTTGGTTAATGGCAGCCCCACAGATTTTTTTCCCGCATCTAGAGGCCTTAGACAGGGAGACCCCCTTTCACCGTCCCTCTTTGTCCTGGCGGCAGACTACCTCTCTTGCTGCCTAGACGGCTTTATCTGCGACTACCCTCAGATGACATATAGCACCCGTGGCTATGGCCCCCCCGTCTCGCACCTATCTTATGCGGATGACATCATCATCTTCGCTCGTGCGGATGGTGATGGGCTGATCGAGCTTATGCACCTTCTGGAGCATTATAGCTTGGTTACTGGCCAGCTGATCAGTGGCAGAAGATCACCTTTACCCTTTCCTCCTCCAGCGCGGACAGGTGGGCTCAGCGAGTCCACGAGATCACTGGCTTTGCGCACGGCGACCTTCCCATTACCTACCTTGGTGCCCCCTTATATAAGGGCAACCTCACGAGAGCGCTCTTTGCGGGCATCAGGCAGAGGATGATAGATAGGATTTCAGGATGGTCGCATAGACATCTTTCCTTCGGTGGTTGGCTTGCACTGATCAAGAGCACCCTTAGCTCCCTTCTGATTCATTTACTTATGGTCCTCGACCCCCTAGGTCCACGCTTGACGAGATTGACCAGATCATGGCTCGTTATTTCTGGGGTTATGAGGATGGTTCAGGGAGGGGGAGACGTACCCACTGGGTGAGTTGGGACTCTATCTGCCGCCCCCTCCCTGAGGGTGGCCTTGGCATCCGTCGTCTTAGGGATATTGTTACTGCCTTCTCATACAAGTTGTGGTGGCGCTTCAGGGAAGGAAAGTCGCTTTGGGCTCAGTACCTTCGCGGCAAGTACTGCTCTAGACGCGCCAACCACCCTTGTTGGGTGACGGCGGGTGCGCATGATAGCAGACAGTGGCGGCGCCTCACTAGGGTTGGTAGGCGCGCCCAGGATCACATTTTTTGGGTTTTGGGGGATGGCGAGGTTAGTTTCTGGGATGAGTGGTGGTTAGGTGATAGGCCGTTGTCTAGAGATAGGCAGGTGTCGCATTCCCCCTACCTGCTTGTGCGCGACCTTTGGACGGACGGGTCGTGGGATAGGGGGAAGCTTGATAGAGAGTTGGGCTCCGGGGCGGGTTTTAGTGAGCAGTTATTAGATAGGATCCAGCAGATACCCATCTCGGGGGACGGTTCGGATGGTATGAGGTGGAGACTTACATCATCGGGTGTGTTTTCTACTACCTCGGCTTGGGAGCAGATCAGGCTGAGAGATCGGCCGAATCTTCTCTTCGGAGCCATCTGGAGCGACCTTTTCACCCCTACCATATCTGTTTTCCTTTGGCGCCTCCTCTTGCGCCGGATACCCGTGGACACTGTGTTACATGCGAGGGGGATCCCCTTTCCCTCCCGATGTGTGTGTTGTTCTGAGACCGGACGTCATGAGACCGAGACCTTTACCCACCTTTTTCTAGAGAGTGAGATTGTGAGGAGAGTGTGGGAGCATTTTGCTACTTGGACTCATATATCCCTACCCTCCACAGACAGTTTTTTTGAGCTCCTGAGTTTTTTCTCACAGAGCACACACTTTAGACACGTGAGCTTCCTCATTCCTTGTCTGATCCTTTGGTTCACCTGGACAGAAAGGAATAGTGCGAAGCATAGGGATATTACTTTCTCGCTTTCTCACATTGTTTTGCAGGTGGAGAGACACGTTTCGCTCCTCACAGCGTTGGGCAGGATTTCTGCACGGGACTGGACAGGCTGCACGCCACCGCACCGATACAGGGTGGCTCCCCCTCCGCCTGTTCGGTCCCCTCGGCCCAGAGCTGTTGTTTGGCTTCGACCCGACCCCCCTTGGGTCAAGCTGAACACTGATGGATCTTTTGATCGCCATAGCGGTAATGCCGGAGGAGGAGGCTTGATCCGGGACCACAGTGGAGCTCTCATCACTGCCTTCCACGCGTCCATTCAGGCCTCCTCGAGCTACGATGCAGAGATTCAGGCATTACAGATTGGCCTTCAGATTGCTGCCCACCTCTCTAGTTACATATGGATCGAGTTGGATGCTGCGGCTGTCGCCACCCTCCTGACTTCGGGCCATCAGGGCTCGTGGCAGATTCAGCACCCGCTTATGCGCATTAGAGATCTACTTCGGTCAGTCCATCATAGGATCACGCACATCTTCCGCGAGGGGAACAGACCGGCTGATTACCTGGCCAGCCTTGGCGCTACCATACCAGGCACACATATATTCCAGACCGGCACTGCTCCACTCCGCCTTCGCACCCTTGTACGGATGGACCAGCTTGGATATCCAGCGTTCCGCTTTCACTAGTTTAGGATTTCTGTTTTCATTAGTATAGACATTTATTTCGGGCATCTGTTAGCCCGAAGATCGGCTTTGTATTGTAGTTTTTTGTCTCCTTTTCGTTTTTCGGCCTTTCTTTTTTGTTTTTTCTTTTGTTTTGACTTTGATTGTGAGACTCCATAGACCTTTGTATCTTGTTCGTTGATATTTTGGGCTTCCGATTTTGGGGCCTTGATCTATGCACAGGTTGGGGATCCAGCCCAATCCCCCGCCCCTCCGGGGCGTTGTTTGTTTAAAAAAAAAAAAAAAACCTAGCAACAAAAGACAACTAACCTAACAGCAAGAAAACCTAGCCGGAAGTCAAGCAATGAAACTAGCAGGAACGTGGCCAATTGCCATCCAGCTGGACATCATTTGGGACAAGTTGATTTAATGGACCGTAAACACATTATTTTACCTCAGCCCAAGTTGATAACCCATGATGGCCCACCCTTGCTGCCTACCCATCCCTATAATCTCTCCCAATCGCAGCCCATTTCTGCTAACCCCCAGCCCAATCTTGCGAGCCCAAAGCTGCCAACCCATTCTCAACCCACCCCATCCGCTAAACCACAACGTCAGACTACTGCTCCCAAACCACAATCCCAACCCACCATCAATATTCAGCCCAACATCACACTCCAAGCCACCCGCCTTCAGACATCCCCCTCTACAACCATCCAACCGACAGCAGCCGTGATGTCTTCCGCTGGCGCCGGCGCCGGGGCCAGAGACGCCACCGGAAAATAAAAATTCGCCGGAAATCCTACCGGGAATATTCGTGAGTCAACTTCCTCGGCCAGAATTCTCGGTCCCCGACCAAACACACCTCCTCCGACCAACCAACTTGCCGGAGCTGCCACTCTTGCGGCCGAAAATTCTAATCCGGATGTCATGTATATGCGAGAAGACGGTGTTGTGGTTGCGGGGCCAATCACGGCGTTGGCGGCTCATCTTTCCGGACCTCCCACGAACGGGACACCGCCGACAGGCCCCCCAACGGCAAACCCCGCTGCACCCGAATCTCTGCTGGGCAATTCCACTGGCCCGCTCTTTTTTCGAGAAGCTATTACGGGGAAGAGAGATGACGTTTCGGGCGAAAAGATTAACCCGCGGCCGATACCCAAGGAGTTTATCTTTGACGGGGATTATGACCACGCTTACGGGACCATCATCTGCTCGGAGGGGAACAGAGTGAAGGTCCGATACTCACAGGCCGAAGCTGACACCCTTGCAGGTAAGTTAGCGAACACACCAGTCTTTAAGTTCACCTATGCTATCCCTTTCCCCCGAGACCTAGCTGTTGGATTAGGAAAATTGGGATTTAAGGGTAGGTTCTCATTTAAATGGTATAACTTCAATCATCTTCTAGTCACTTTTAATCTCTCCGAAGATTATAATGAGGCATGGCTTAGGACTTCTATTTCTGTGTGTGGATGCCCAGCTAGGGTATTCAAGTACACTTCCGGGTTCAATCTGAAGACGGAGATGCTGGAACACGCCGACGAGGCGGTCCTTCCCACGGATCGATATCGGATACCAAAACATGTACATACATGATTTCGATTAAACCTAAGCATGCTCCTAAAACGTGAACAGAGATATACCTTTCTTCAAGGCTTTGATTCGATCTGAGCGATCTTCTAAACTGTGTCCTGACCGCGTTTGGACGCCGGATGAACGACGATCCTCCAAACGGTTGAAAGAAGAGAACTGCCCACGTCTTTCTCGAACCCTTCTCGTTACTCTTTCCACGATGGTGGCTGGAGTGTCTCACGAAAGTCTCTTTAGGGTTTAGAACGTGGGAAGTCCCCTCTTTTTATAGAGGTCCTTGGGCCAGCCTAGGGATCTCTTAGAAGGTATAGGGTTTGGGCTCCCTACAGCCCAAATTCTCACGTTCAGCCCAGAACACAATTTGGCCCGTAAATATTAATTCATTCCACTAGAGAATTAGTATTGTACTCCCGTCCTATCCCGAAATGAATCAGGGCTTCTATTAGACTCGATATAATTCTCCGTGTTTAAGATATCGCACGTCCATTAATTATTAAAGCTTCTGACTGCTTTAATTAATTAATATCTTTTAATCCTTAAGTAGTACCACTCAACCTTATTATCGTACGGATTAAATCCACCTGCAGGGTTTATACGATAATCCTTATGAGTTCCTTAAGGGGACGTCACCAACCTGGATGTCCAGGACACTGTGCCCTAATGCCAATAAATAGATATCATGCAGATAGTGTTGTTACCCAAGATACGGAGCTATTGAACCAATACTTGGTCCTCACTCATGGTAAGTCAAAGTAACAAACAAATATCCCATATATCTAATTACCACAGTTAGGGTTAAGAATTAGTAGAGTCACCGAGACCTAGGTTCTTCATGATAGTCAGAACAGAAGAACACGTCTCAACTGTGATCCTTTCAATGCGACGCAGCGCACTAGTATAAACCAATAGCCAAGACAAGCTACATCCAGTTTATACTACAACCTACACCGATAGTCATGTGCATAACTATCTCAGTTGTGAATACCATTTATATCTTATAAGGAACCGACAATGTAATCTTCTGTGTGACTACTAACACACCACGTTGTCTACAATATAAGATAATTGGACATTTAGCATACAAGCAATCATAAAGAATGCAACAATTTGAAAAACATTTATTTCAGTCAAATGGGAAATCGAATAATATAATCCAAAAGCTCACGTAAAAGTTTGCTTCACAGTATACTCCAACATGAGACGCCAGTCGTCCCCGTGTGGTGCCGCCTCCCTGGCCTTCCACCACATCTGTATGACCGGGATTCCATCACCACACTTGCTAAGTGTGTCGGAAAACCGGTCTGCATTGATGCCCCGACTGCTCTCCAGTCCAGGGCTAATATGGCGCGGTTTTGTGTCGAGATTGATCTTAGAGTGGAGCCTATCCACGAGATTGAGATTGAGCAGGGTTCGGAGACCTTTGCTCAGCAGGTGATCTACAAGAAGATCCCCGCTTTCTGTTCAGCCTGCAGTCATGTCGGTCATATAGCGGCCGACTGCTATATCAGTGGCAATAAGCCACGACCCGCTCCACCTTTGCGCCGTCGTACGGCCCAGCTGGGACCCTCCAACAGCCGGAGGGAACCGAAGGGAAAGGGCAAAGGCCCTCTCCAGACACCCGGGTCCCCAAAGGGGGCCACGGATAAGGGCAAGGCGAAGATGAACGCCATTGCCCAAACTGGGAAGGATGCTCATCCTGACCAGTCAGACAGATTGATCATAGTTGGGCCCAAGGCCAAGGCTACGGGCTTTATTCCCAGAGAGACACTTCAGTCGGCCTTCAAGGCCAAACACTCGTTCTTTGCACCCCTCTCCCCTGAGTCAAATGATGAGGCTGAGCCTTCCTCTAGGGACTCACACGGTCCCTCGGATCTTGGCCTTTTAGAGGACGACGACCTCCTAGTAGATGATCTAGAGCAGCCGGCCACTTCACCCACTAGCCCGGCCACCCATTTATCTCATGATAGCATTCCTGATGCTGTTCTTTTATCTGTCCTCCCACATAGCTAGGATTGCTCTCTGGAGATGAGGACAGCTCCTGCCACCGCTTCCTCGAAAGGGGAATTGCCGGCTCACCTCCCCTTTGCTGTAAAATGCCTTAAGATAGCGCAGAAGGTCTTTTAGGGCCACTATGCTTGCATCCCCCGACTCAACATCGAAGTGGTCTCGTGCGATCTCATGCGCGGCCATCATGTTGTCGGGTCTGGTCTGCCTGCGGTTACAGAATCGCCCGCAGACCTCGACTCTCTCTCTATAAAAAAAAGCTTGATGGCGGCGCAGGTTTTTCTTCCTTCTGAGCCAGGATCAAACTCTTCTTTTGACTATGATTGGGCACTGATAGAATTAGAGGAGTATCAAAATGCTAACTCGATCTGGTACTTTGCGAAGTGCGACTCCCAGCAGCCCAGGAAAAGCCTCTGATCTACCCTTTCTCTGGTATTTCAACTCCTGATTTGAAATCAACTCTATTCTAAATCTAATATGGATATGGCATTTCTGAGGGAACTCGAGTAATAAATTACCTCTTCTGAGTCCTCTCTTCATAGCTAGGGCAAACACGAGTCCTTGGCCCAGCTTTCGTTAGATCTGTGCTTGACCGCTTTGAGTCTCGACGAGACCTAGTTGAATTACATTTCCAAAAGTCTAGCTAACCCCCGTTAGTTCAAGGCTCGGAACCACCGATCGTACCTTACGCCGGTGAAATAGAATTACATCAGTTACTGACACCTGGAGCCAGGTGAAATTGCTAATGCAACTCCCGAACCTAATGACTAAGGGCCCATACCTGTCGCATAAAAAGAAAAGGAAATTCCTAAATTAGACTGAGAATTCTATCCAAGAGGGATTTTATTTTTTAATCAACATAAAAAGACACCCAAAGGATACATATGGGGAAGGCTTCTCACCAGTAACGTAAGTATAGCCAGCACCATTCCTTTCTTTTCATTTCTTTTGCCCTCGACATTGCGGGATTAACCAGGCTTTTCAGTCATAAAGGAGAATCTTGAATCCTTTAGAAAGCGTCCTGCTCCTCGATTCTCCTGAAGCATCACGCATTTCTCTGAATTCGAAGCTGGCGAGGCATAGTCAGCCGCCCTAGAGCTGAATGGCAAAGATCCATTTGTTGTCTTTGAAAAAGATGATGGCTTCAAAGGCTAGGGCCCTGGAGATTGAGATTTCGAGTGAGCCTATAGCTCTCCAGCCACACTCCGACGGCGAGCACCCGAGTGCTCTGCCGGATGGAGTCTCTTCCCCTCTCCTCTCTGAGCAGGCATGCGGTCTTAACCGCGCTCAGCACGACGTCTCATGCGAGAGTTTTGCCTCTAATGCTTTCGTGCACCATGACAGACAGGAGGCATGCCCGGACATGGGGCAGGCACCTAGTGTGAGTCTTGGTCAGACTGCTCAGCCTGATGATTCGCAGGCCACGAGCGCTTTCCGAGGAGCGTTCCCCCTCAAATACCATACCCACACCGCGCATGACGAGGCGGACCGTCTCTCCGGTTCTTCGTCGATCCTCTCGCCACCTACCCCCTCCCTCAGGTGGTCTGACCCAGCCTCGCCACAGGCGGACCCCGTCCGGTGGCTTTTCTGATTGCTGATATGTCTATCATGTCCATTACCTAGAATGGACGGGGACTGGCTAATAGGGCCACTCTCGCTCACCTTCGCTCTCTCATTCGTGATCATAGATTGGATTTTGTCGGCTTTATTGAGCCGATGATTCGCACCCCTGACTTTGACTATTTCTCACGTCGTCTTGGTTTTCATTCGGGCGTGGGTAACATTTCTCATAAGATCTTCTTCTTTCACTCGCGTGACTACACTTGTCGGGTCCTCCGGGACACCGATTAGGTGCTTCATGTCGAGCTTTCTGCTGCCCATCTCCCTGAGCCCATATTTCACACTTTGGTTTACGCCAAGTGTAATAGAGTCGGGAGACACAATCTGTGGGACACCCTGCGTGAGATTGCTGAGAGTATGGAGGGATTGCCATGGATGGTTAGTGGCGATTTCAACATCTTTCTGCACCCCGATGAGCGTGTGGGTGGCCGCACGAACCGGTCCCGGGAGATGTGGGACTTTGCTCAGACTGTGGCGGACTGTGAGTTGATAGATACTGGATGTGAGGGTGAGCCCTTCACGTGGGTTAGGGACGACCTCAGAGAGAGGCTCGACCGTGCTTTGGTCTCTAAAGCGTGGTCGAAGGTGTTTGCGATCACGACCGTCATGCATCTCACTCGATTTGGGTCTGACCATTCACCACTCCTCATTAGGTGTCGCTTCTCGAGCACTCCCCGCCGCGCTTCCTTTATGTTCCAGAACATGTGGGTTCGCCACCACTCTTTCCATGACACTGTCAGGGATTCATGGCTCCAACCGACTGGGCTCTTCGGGATGCGCAATCTCGAAGCTAAGCTCGGCAGATTACGGAGTAGGTTGAGACAGTGGAACTGGGATGTTTTTGGAAACCTCCATCAGCGCCTCTCTGCGGCTCAGAGTGCGCACGCGGAGGCTGAGCGGGCCTATGACCTGGATCCCACTCCGAAGAATAGGACTGCGATGCACCGCTGCCACGCCGAGTACCAGCTCCGACTCCTTATGGAGGAGGATTTCTGGAAGCAGAAGGCGGCCGTTCACTGGGTGGCTGAGAGCGAGCGGAACACTAGGTTTTTCCAGGGCTTCGTTAGACAAAAGCGTGCTAAGTCGTACATCCATAGTATTGAGGCAGATGGGTCATCCCTGACCCAGAAGTCTCAGATTTGGGAGTCGGCTGTTGCTCACTTCCAGACCCTCTTCACCTCTAACAGATGGTCCCTCGTTGCCCCGACTGTCTCTCTCTTCCCTACCATCCCTACTTCGGTCGACCTTGTCGACCTCTGTAAGCTTCCGAGCAGGGAGGAGGTTAGGGATGCTGTTTTTGGGATTGATCCCAACAGCGTTTCTGGCCCCGATGGGTTCTCTTCCCTCTTCTATCAGGTCTGCTGGGATATAGTCAAGCCTGATGTTGAGGAGGCGATATTGGATTTCTTCACCGGTCACCGGATGCCGGATTCCTTCACGTCTACCTCTGTCGTTTTGATTCCCAAAAGACCCAATTCGAGCTCTTGGTCCGACTACAGGCCAATCAGCCTGTGTAACGTGACCAATAAGCTTATTTCGAAGATTCTTAACGGCCGTCTTTCCCCTATTCTCCCCTCCCTCATTTCTCCGAACCAGAGTGGCTTCGTCAAGGATCGGGTCATTAGTGATAACATACTTTTGGCCCAGGAGATGATCCACGATATCTACCATGCAGACTGGAAGCGGGCTCCGAACATTGTGTTGAAGCTAGATATGGCTAAGGCGTATGATAGAGTGGAGTGATCGTTTCTTAGGAAGGCACTGGCTAGGATGGGATTCTCGGAGCGATGGATCAGCTTTGTAGAGGCGTGTGTGGAGCATTGCACGTCCTCGGTCCTGGTTAATGGCAGCCCCACAGATTTTTTTCCCTCATCTAGAGGCCTTAGACAGGGAGACCCCCTTTCCCCGTCCCTTTTTGTTCTTGCGGCGGACTACCTCTCTCGCTGCCTCGACGGCTTTATCCGCGACTATCCTCAGATGACATATAGCACCCATGGCTATGGTCCCCCCGTCTCGCACTTATCTTATGCGGATGACATCATCATCTTCACTCGTGCGGATGATGATGGGCTGATCGAGCTCATGCACCTTCTGGAGCATTATAGCTCGGTTACCGGCCAGCTGATCAGTGTGCAGAAGAGCACCTTCACCCTTTCCTCCTCCAGCGCGGACAGGTGGGCTCAGCGAGTCCACGAGATCACTGGCTTTGCGCACGGAGACCTTCCCATTACCTACCTTGGTGCCCCTTTATATAAGGGCAACCTCACGAGAGCGCTCTTTGCGGGCATCAGACAGAGAATTATCGATAGGATTTCTGGTTGGTCGCATAGACACCTTTCGTTCGGTGGTCGGCTTGCTCTGATCAAGAGCACCCTTAGCTCCCTTCCGCTTCATTTACTTATGGTCCTCGACCCTCCTAGGTCCACCCTTGACGAGATTGACCAGATCATGGCTCGTTATTTCTGGGGTTACGAGGATGGTTCGGGGAGGGGGAGACGTACCCACTGGGTGAGTTGGGACTCTATCTGCCGCCCTCTCCCTGAGGGTGGCCTTGGCATCCGTCGCCTTAGGGATATTGTTACTGCCTTCTCATACAAGTTGTGGTGGCGCTTCAGGGAAGGAAAGTCGCTTTGGGCCCAATACCTTCACGGCAAGTACTGCTCTAGACGCGCCAACCACCCTTGTTGGGTAACGGCGGTTGCGCATGATAGCAGACAGTGACGGCGTCTTACTAGGGTTGGTAGGCGCGCCCAGGATCGCATTTTTTGGGTTTTGGGGGTTTGCGAGGTTAGTTTTTAGGATGAGTGGTGGTTAGGTGATAGGCCGTTGTCTAGAGATAGGCAGGTGTCGCATTCCCCCTACGTGCTTGTGCGCGACCTTTGGACGGACGGGTCGTGGAATAGGGGGAAGCTTGATAGAGAGTTGGGCTCCGGGGAAGGTTTTAGTGAGCAGTTATTAGATAGGATCCAACAGATACCCATCTCGGGGGACGGTTCGGATGGTATGAGGTGGAGACTTACATCATCGGGTGTGTTTTCTACTACCTCGGCTTGGGAGCAGATCAGGCTGAGAGATCGGCCGAATCTTCTCTTCGGAGCCATCTGGAGCGACCTTTTCACCCCTACCATATCTGTTTTCCTTTGGTGCCTCCTCTTGCGCCGGATACCCGTGGACACTGTGTTACATGCGAGGGGGATCTCCTTTCCCTCCCGATGTGTGTGTTGTTCTGAGACCGAATGTCATGAGACCGAGACCTTTACCCACCTTTTTCTAGAGAGTGAGATTGTGAGGAGAGTGTGGGAGCATTTTGCTACTTGGACTCATATATCCCTACCCTCCACAGACAGTTTTTTTGAGCTCCTGAGTTTTTTCTCACAGAGCACACACTTTAGACACGTGAGCTTCCTCATTCGTTGTCTGATCCTTTGGTTCACCTGGATGGAAAGGAATAGTGCGAAGCATAGGGATATTACTTTCTTGCTTTCTCACATTGTTTTGCAGGTGGAGAGACACGTTTCGCTCCTCACAGCGTTGGGCAGGCTTTCTGCACGTGAGTGGACAGGCTGCACGCCACCGCACCGCTACAGGGTGGCTCCCACTCCGCCTGTTCGGTCCCCTCGGCCCAGAGCTGTTGTTTGGCTTCGACCCGACTCTCCTTGGGTCAAGCTGAACACCGATGGATCTTTCGATCGCCATAGAGGTACTGCCGGAGGAGGAGGCTTGATCCGGGACCACAGTAGAGCTCTTATCGCCGCCTTCCACACATCCCTTCAAGCATCCTCGAGCTACGATGCAGAGATTCAGGCATTACAGATTGGCCTTCAGATTGCTGCCGACTTCTCTAGTCATATTTGGATTGAGCTGGACGCAGCGGCTGTCGTCACCCTTCTGGCCTCGGGTCATCAGGGCTCGTGGCAGATTCAGCACCCACTTATGCGCATTAGAGATCTACTTCGGTCTGTCGATTACAGGATCACACACATCTTCCGTGAGGGGAACAAACCGGCTGATTACCTTGCCAGTCTTGGCGCTACCATACCAGACACGCACACGTATCAGACCTACACTGCTCCACTCCGTCTTCGCACGCTAGTTCAGATGGATCAGCTGGGATATCCATCGTTTCGATTCCAGTAGATTAGGTTTCTGGTTTTGGTTTTCTTAGACCATCCATTTATTCCGGGCACCTGTTAGCCCGATGACAAACCTTGTTCTATTTTCATTTTTTGTTTTCGTTTCTGTTTGGATTGTGAGACTATGTTGACTCTTTGGGCCTCAGTTTTCGGGTCTCGATCTATGTACAGGTTGGGGATCCTGCCCAATCCCCCGCCCTTCCGGGGAGTTGTTTGTTAAAAAAAAAAAAAACCTAGCAGCAAGAAAGAACAACTAAACTAGCAACAAACACAACTAACCTAGCACCATCAGACAACTAACCTAGCAGCAAGAAAGAAATAACCTAGCAACAAAAGACAACTAACCTAGCAGCAAGAAAGAAATAACCTAGCAACTTAAGACAACTAACCTAGCAGCATCAAACAACTAACCTAGCAGCAAGAAATAAATAACCTAGCAACAAAAGATAACTAACCTAGCAGCAAGAAAGAAAAAAAAAAAAAGAAAATCTTATTGATTTCTGTCCAGTTTTCAGTCCGGCTAGCCGGTGCCGGCACCGGCCGGCACCCGGACAACTACACCTCGCGGAAAAATCATATAACAAACATAATCCTTTCTCCATTTTTTACATTTGTTCTTTAAAACCGTTAGCCCAAACATGGGTACTCCGGAAAATTTTCCGGCAAACATTCAAGCCTCGGATCTGAATCTTTTCATGTCACAACCGGAATTTACAGAGGCTTTCTCAGCCTTTATCGAAAAAATAAAAAATAATAATAAGGAAGAAGAAAGCAATATCGTAGAGGATTGAGAAATAGTTTCAGAGGCTCGAATATTACAAGCCGAGTCCAAAGCGCCCGGAAAAATCGGGAACACAACATCGGCCCCGGTAGCTGCCGGAGTCAACCATTTTCAGTCAGATTTAGCGACAACTGTTTGCACCACCGCTCCGCCATCGTCCATCAATTCTGCAGAAATAGCAGTTCATTTTTGGCCGATTCAATTTGGCTCCGTCTCTACGAAGTTGAATCAAAAATTTCCGCCTCCCTCGAACGAAAATCTGAGCGGTTCTGGTGCCGGAACCTTATCGTTGAAACCGTCGGTCAACCCTGGTTCACTCAATGTCGGTCGGCGGGGATTTTCCGTCTCTACGTCAGCCCCGGAGGTGACAATAGAGGAGAGCCTCGGTCGACAAACTCCGCTTGGTTCATTGCCGCCGGCGGCTTTGTTGGAACCGCTCCCTCTCCCAAAAGCGGATTCCTCAGAGCAGACCCGTCCACATGGAGGCGCATCAATGATGGACCCAAACCCTCAGCGCGCTATAGCCAATCCTGTCCCTCAACCATCATTCTTTGGACCACCACCGAGGCCCAAATTAAGTGAGCCATCCCAGGCCCATCTTCCTCTCACTCTCTCAACCCAAATAATTAACCAATCCCAACAACCTTTTCAACCACAATCCACGTTTTTGGGCCTCGGTGGACACAACAACTCTCACAACAATCCTTTACCTCTCAGGCCCACTCCACTTAACCTCTCCATCTCCACCCAGCCCATCCCCTCTCAGCCCGTCAGCTCATATCAGGCCACCCCTCAGCCCATCACCAACTCAACCAAGCCCGCATCCTCCCAGCAGCACTCCACTCACGGCCATGATGCTTCAGTCAACCATACGGCGGCCACCATCCACGGCGGCGCCGGAGCTGGCCCACCCACCGGAAAATCCGTCCCGGCCGGCAATCAAGTCGGAAATATCCCAAAATCGGATTTTGCGGCCGGAATTCTAGGGCCTCGGCCAAATTCTCACCCACCGGCCAAACTCATCGCCGGAGCAGCCCTCTCTATTGCCGAAAAATCTGAACCGAATGTTTTGTATGTACGAGAAGACGGTGTTGTGGTTGCAGGCCCTAACACGACAGTCACGGCAAATTTTTCCGGACACTCTCCGAAGGGGATACCGCCATCGGCTACGGGCACGGCCATCCCCGCCACAACCGGGCCCCTTACGACCTCAACCACTTCCCCACTTTCTTTCCGGGAGGCTATTACCGGAAAAAAAAATGACGCCTCGGGCACCCTGCGCCAAACACCCAAGG